AAAATAAAATAAAATAAAAATAAATAAAATAATTTTTAATACATACATATATAAAATGAAAGGATTTTATAGGTAAATTTTGTAGTGTCTCCCCTCCTCCTGCTTTTCTGTATTTCCCTAATTATAAAAATTATTCTGGAAATTAAATAAAAACGGGAGCATTCCCTCATGGTTTCCATGGACTTGTTTATTAAGGATTATGCATTCACACAAAAAATCCAAGAGTTGAAGCCTCTTTATACTAGTCCAAAAGGGATACATATAACATAGCATAGACAAGAAAGACATTTCAAAAAAGCAACCAAAAGAAATAGAATAGTAATTTCTTCACTCCCTCAACGTAACTAAAATTCCCCATTTCTTCAGAGTGCCTTTAAAGTCCTTTAGCTTTTTTTGGATGCAGGCAAGCCCAATTCGAACTATTTCCAAATGACTCTGCAACAGCAGGTGAGGGCAAGGGGGCATGCTCATTATTGAACCTATGATATTTTTCTTATATAAACTAAATTCATCAAGTTACCTGTAGGGCCACAGTTACAGCTGCATTTATGTTGTTATCACATGGTGAAGCAGTATTTGTCCCTGATGGCTTTGCAGGATTTGGGGAAGAAACTGATATAGTTGTTGGGTTGAGAACATCCTTCTGAACAGTGGAATCCTCCACTAGATCCTTTTCTATCAGAGTTGTGCTAAGAAAAAAAGAATTTTACATTAGATTTAGTATAGTACACAGAAACAGGTGAGCAAATGATCAGAAGAAAATTAATCTTAATGTGGAAGATTTTCTTCCCATATCAAAACCTGTACCTCAATGCAGGAGACTCAGCTGCACACAAAGGACCAGTACTTATATCGAGTTGCTGGGCAGCGGCGCAGTCGGTCTGTTCATCCTCTGCAGGCACTGGGCAACTATCCCCTTGTCTTAACTCTTCATTATCCTTAAAATGAAAACATATTTTCAAAACTACATTTATAATAAAATACAACAGGGGAATGTAGTCAACAGGAAATGTAGTCAATAATTATGTAATTGTCAGGTGGGTACTAGACTCATCAGGGGGAGCACTTAGCAAGTTATATAAATGTCTAACCACTGTTATACATCTGAAACTAATGTAATATTGAATGTCAATTATAATTAAACAATAAAAAAAATTTAATTTGACTTATAGAGGCATTTCTCCAAATAAGATATACAAATGGTCAACAAGTATATATGAGAAGATGTTCAACATCATTAGTCATTAGGGAAATGCAAATCAAAACCACAATTAGAAACTACTTCATACTCAGTAGAATAGCTATAATGATTAAGAGAGGTAATAACAAACATATTTAGTGATATGGAAATATTTGAACCCTCAAACATAGAAAGTGGCAATGTAAAATGATGCAGCCACTTGGGAAAATAGTGAAGCAGTTCCTCAAAAAGTTAGAGTTACCATAATTCACTCTTAGGTAGGTACCCAAGAGAAAGCATGTCTGCAAAAAACTTATGCAAAAAATGTTCATGCCGAAACCGGTTTGGCTCAGTGGACAATGAAAGGAATAAAAGGTACCCACACACACCACAACAATGGGTGAATCTTCAGGACATCATCCCAAGTAAAATAAGCCAGCCATAAAAAGACAAAATACTCTCCGATTCTATTTATATGAGGCAACTAAAATAGTTAAAGTCATAGAAACAAAGTAGAATGATGGTTGCCAGGGGCTGAGGGAAGGAGAATGGGATTTGTTGTTTACTGGTAGTATTTTACTGTAAGACTAAAAGAGTTCTGGAGATTGGTTGCACAACAACGTGAATGTATTGTATTTAGCACGCCTGAGCTGCACACATTTAACAATGGTTAAGATGATAAATTTATGTTTTGTGTATTTTTCCAGGATTAAACCAAGAAAAATAAGACAATTACAAAACTAAAAATTAGGAAAGCCAAAACAAGCAAACCAAAGTCCAATAGCAAATTAAGAGTTCCAAAAGAAGTGAAGGATTTATCAAAGAGAAGTTCATGAAATTTATCCCACATGGAAGGCCATGAGTTTACAGATTTAAAAAGCCCATCAAAGTATCCAGTACAATGACCAAAACAAAACTAAGAGTCGTAGCAAGATACATCATCATGAAATTTCAGAGAATACCGGGAATAAATAAAATACCTTAAAAGGCTCCAGTGTGAGTGGGTTAAGTGGACAGGTGGAAAGATGTAGATCATCAGAGAATGAGGGATCAAAACCATAGTTCTGGCTCGGTTGCAGTGAATCAGCGGTAGAGCACTGACCTATGAACCAGGACGTCACGGTTCGATTCCTGGTCAGAGGACATGTTTGGTTATTGGATCAATGAGGGGAGTGCAGGAGACAGCCAGTCAGTGATTATCTCTCATCATTGATGTATCTCTCTCTCCCTCCTCCTTCCTCTCTGAAATCAATAAAAATATATTTAAAAAACAAACAAACCACAGATTCTGAAATGAACCTCTAGAAGCAAAGATTATTTCCTAAGCCAAAAGAAAAAAAAGAAAACAAACAAGAACTACAAAGGAAATACTGCCAAATATAACCATATTAAAATTAAGAACCTGTTTTTTACCCACAAATATATAAGACTAAAAACAAACCATTAGTGATATACACACTGACAAAGAATTAGTATCCAGAATATTTTTTAAATTCCATGAATCTATAAGATATGAGATAAACCAATTTAATAATTATGTGCCAAATATTTGAAAAACTCTTTTAAAAGAGACTCAAATGGCCAAAAAACATAAAAATGATAATTTAGCTGTAGCCCTCATAGGGTGGTGCTGACAGGAAACCAAGTCTGTCTGCATCACCCTGAGACTCCGCCCCCATCCAAGCTGAGCGCAGAAGCCCTCCTAGCTGAGACACTGCTAATCCTCACAGCCAATTGGCGTGGAGATCAACTCTCCCCAGTGATACCAACAATAAGAAAGGCTTTACTACAACAAAACTGCACACACAGCCCACAAAGGGCTGCACCAAGAGTGTCCACCTCTGGTAACTGGGGATGCTGAGCTACTGAGCCCTGCTAGGACACCTAGCATGCAAAGCCACTCCATCAACTCAGGGAAGCAGCTAAAATGCAGAGACAAAGAGGCAGGCCACAAACAAAGGAAATGGAGGAAAGCAAAAGAATGGATATAGAGGTCAAAACCATAGTTATAAGGTTTTTCAAGAATTTCCTAGAAAAGGCTGATAAATTAAACAAGACCTTTAAAGATATATATAAAAAAAAAAAAGATCAACTAGAAATTAAGCATACACTGACTGAAATAAAAAATATTATACAGAGACCTAAAAACAGACTAGAAGATCGTGAGAATCAAGTCAAAGATTTGGAATACCAAGAAGCAAAAAGCACTCCACTGGAAAAGCAAAAAGCAAATAGAATACAAAAAGTTGAAAAAGTGTAAGAAGCCTCTGGGACAACTTCAAGTGTACCAACATCAGAATTATGGGGATTCCAGAAGAGAGTGCAAGATACTGAAAATCTATTTGAAGAAATGGTGACAGAAAACTTTCCCCACCTGGTGAAAGAAATAAGACTTACAAGTCCAGCAAGTACACAGAACCCCAAACAAAAGGAATCCAAAGAGGACCACACCAAGACACATCATAATTAAAATGCCAAGAGCAAAAGACAAAGAATATTAAAAGCAGCAAAAGAAAATCAGTTAGTTACCTATAAGGGAGCACCCATGCGACTGTCAGCTGATTTCTCAACAGAAACTATGCAGGCCAGATGGAAATGGCAAGAAATATTCCAAGTGATGAATAGCAAGAACCTACAACCAAGTTTACTCTACCCAGCAAAGCTATCATTCAGAATTGAAGGCCAAATAAAGAGCTTCACAAATAAATAAAAGCTAAAAGAGTTTATCATCGCCAAACCAAAATTATATGAAATGCTGAAAGGTATTCTTTAAGAAGAGGAAGAAGAAGATAAAGATAAAAATTATGAACAACAAATACGTAGCTATCAACAAGTGAATCTAAAAACCAAGGGAATAAAAAATCTGATAAACAATATTAACTGGTGAATATAATAGAATCAGAGGTATAAAAAGGGAGTAGACTGATGATTCTAGGGGAAAAAAGGAGTGGAGGGTGGGGGAAGAGATTGAACAAAAATCATACACTTACGGATTAGGACAGTGGGGGTTGGGGAAAGGGCAGAGGGTGGGGTAGGAACCTGGTGGAGGGGAGCTATAGAGGGAAAAAAGAGGAACAATTGTAATAATCTGCCCAATAAAGGTTTATTAAAATTTTTTTTTAAATCACCTGAAGGTATTTTTTTAAATTTGATTTTAGATAGAGAAGAACGAATAGAGAAACAGTGAAACACTGATAAGTTGCCTCCCACACAGAAACCTACAAGTGCCCTGAGGAGGAATTGAACTTGCAACCTTTTGATGTACTAGATGTAGGGGATGATGCTCCATCCAACTGAGCCAATCTTTTTATAATACTAAAAGTATACTGACAACCCCCTGAATTAAAACTATATTAGAAATACTTATTAAGAAAACCTAAATAACTTAAAACATAAGCTAATACTATAGTCCCATAAGCTAGAAGATGAGATGTTTCAGTGTTTACCTTTTCTTTGTAGACACCTTTAACAACATCAGACATCCTACTCTCCAAAACAAGTTCACCTGGTGTCCTTGATGAACTTCCAGGTAAAGGAGGAAAATTTGAAGCTAATAAGTCAAACTTTGGTGTTGGAGCCTTTGCTTCAGCTGTTGAAGGTTGGGGTCTCTAAAAGACAGAAATCATAAAACAGGTCATATAACTTTCTCATTCTCTAACCCTGTACCACAGAAGCTGAAATTTAAAAAAATAAAAATAAAAAAATAAAAAACAGACAAACAAACAAAAAAACCCACAAAACTTTAATGTACAGAATTATTTCCCTATAAATTTTTGGCTTCTCATCTCAATTGAGCTCAAATTAGTCTTTTTTGTTTTTTTTTAATATGGAATGCTTCACAAATTTGCAAGTCATCCTTCCACAGGGCTATGTAATTTTTCTCTATATTGTTCCAATTTTAGTATATATGCTGCTGAAGAGAACATAACCTCTCATTAATCCTTATCAGTACTTACCTTTAGGCAGTTCCCTCTCTTTATTTCTTTTGCAAACTTTGCCAAATTCCTAAGCCTTCTTATCAATCTCCACTATTCTTTGCTTTCTAAATTAGTTATTACCTCCTTTTCTAACAACAAAATCCCTACCTCACAAAAATTTGCCATCATCATTCACCTTCCATATGACCTATAGAGAGAGAACAATATTCTTCCTTGAAAATCTCATCTGTCCCTTTCTCTCTATACCCTCCGACAAACCTCTCTCTTGGTCTATTCCTCACCTCTGTACTGATCATACCACTGCTTTAACAAGTCACCAGTGCCTTCCACAATGCAAACCTGGAAGTCTTTTTTCCATGACCTCACTATAGCATCTGGCCTGGTAAACACTCTTTCCTTTGGGACCTCATTTCTCCCTTAGCTTGTGTGCTACGCCTTTCTATTGATTCACAGATCTGACAATCATGTGCTATTTTCTGCTTGCCTACTTCTTTTGATGGTTTTTGTTTCTATATAGTCATTATTTCTCACGTTTACAGAGAGGAAGGGAGAGGGATAGTTAGAAATATCGATGAGAGAGAAACAACAATCAGCTGCCTCCCACACACCACCCACTGGGGATGTACCCGCAATCAAGGTACATGCCCTTGACTGGAATCAAACTTGGGACCCCTCAGTCCGCAGGCCAATGCTCTATCCATTGAGCCAAACAGATTTTAGCCATATTTTTTAAATTTTTAAACCATGTGAAAATATTAGATACTCAAATAATTTTTAAGAAAGTGAGAAGCACAGGTCAAATTCCTAACTATATGAGTACCTTAAGGGTGGAGGGAGCATGATAATGGAGTATATTTCAGGGTCAAGCACAGGCTCTATTTACATTCACTGCATATATAATCAATCAAGTAGCCCTAACCAATTTGGCTTATAGCATGAAACCTCATTTTAGATCATCAAGTGGTTCAGAACACTCAACAGAGGGATCTGTGTCATTGGGGGATGGACCAGTAAACAGATCTGGTTCGAGGAACTTTCCAGCTGAACGGCATAACCCTGCAGTAACAGGGCATCAGGAGCAAAGCTACCTTCCCAAAGAGACTCCAACTTTGCAGATTGAACAGATAGACCATTAGCCTGCGAACTGAAGAGTCCCAGGTTTGATTCCGGTAAGGGCACATGCCCAGGTCACAGGCTCAAACCCCAGTGGGGGACGTGCAAGAGGCAGCCGATCAATGGTTCTCTTTCATCATCGTATTTTTCTCTTTCTCCTCTCTTCCTCTCTGAAATCAAAATATAAAAAAATATATATATATATATATATTTAAAAATCAATCAAGTAGAAACCTAAAAGCTAAGGTAGATCACAAGTCAATGCCATAGTAAATCACAAAAGAAAAAAAAAATTAACAGCAGTAATTAAAAGTAAAAAAACACTTACTGGGAATTTGTCATCTTCTCGTCGTCTTCGACCTCTGAAAAGAGTTCTCCTTTTAACAAAACAAAAAGGGGATGGGAGGGAGAACTTGTAAGTTTCTTCAAAGTTATATATTTCATCAAAAATGAGTGCATTTCAAATTTAAGTATCTATGCATCTAAATTTCATTATTAAAAGATAAATATGTATTCTTCTAAAGGGATCCTGAGCAAATCACCACCACCACCACCACGAAGTAAGCTGTGCACATTTGTATTAGAAGCACTCTCTCCACACCAGAAGCAGATTAGGGCTCAGCTCTGTTTTGTACAGGTAGGTTAAGTTATATAGAACCCTATTACCTTAGTTTAGAAGTTAAGAAATTAGCTCTGGCCAGGTAGCTAAGGTGGTTTTACAGCATTGCTCTGATATGCCAAGGTTGGGGGTTCAATCCCATGAGGGCACATATAAGCAGCAACCAATGAATGCATAAATAAGTAGATCAACAAATCTCTCTCTCTATTCCTCTAAAATCAATCAATCAATCAATCAATCAATCAGTTAGCTGTAGAAAATTAAAACTATAATGCAGATGGAATTTTATCTTCCTAAACCATTCTTTGAGAACTTCAGAATAACTTATAAATCCGACTTAAGTTACATTCTATCTAAACATTCTAAATTTCTTAATTTTTATAAAAAAACTATTATGTAAAAATGTATTTACTTAACAGCAGATTATAGTTTCCAAATACTCACATTATGATAAAAGGATTTTTCTCCCGTATTTATTACCATAGTCACTCACCTGCCCCTACCATAATCCCCATTCTGTTCAATCTGCAAAGCTGGAGTCTCTTTGGGAAGGTAGCTTTGCTCCTGATGCCCTGTTACTGCAGGGTTATGCCGTTCAGCTGGAAAGTTCCTCGAACCAGATCTGTTTACTGGTCCATCCCCCAATGACACAGATCCCTCTGTTGAGTGTTCTGAACCACTTGATGATCTAAAATGAGGTTTCACGCTATAAGAAATAATGATTACATATATGAATAAATCAAGACAGACAGAAAATCATTCTTAATTGTAGAAACTCTTAATAGACCAAGTTAAAAACTGCTTTTCTGCTATTTCCTGTTTTCCATTCGTTAAGTTAAACATAAAATTATTGTATAAAAATGTAAGTCCTTTTATGTCCCAGATATATATATTGTTCAAATATATTTCATTGATTTCCCACAGAGAGGAAGGGTGAGGGACAGAGGTTCAGAAAAATCAGAGAGAGAATCAAACCCGGGACCATTCAGTTTGAAGGCCTATGCTCCATCCACTGAGCCAAACTGGTTAGAGCCGATATATTTTTAAAAGGCAAAGAACTTTTACATTAAAAAGTTTAGCCCTAGCCAATTTGGCTCAGTGGATAGAGTGTCGGTCTGTGGACTGAAGGGTCCCAGGTTCCATTCTGGCCAAGGGCACATGCCTAGGTTTTGGGCTCAGTACCCAATGGGGGCAAGGGGTGGAGGATGGGGAGTGTGCAGGAGGCAACTGATCAGTGATTCTCTCTCATCATTGATGTTTCTATCTCTCTCTATCCCTCCTCCTTCCTCTCTAAAACCAATAAATATAATTTTAAAAAAGTTGCTGAAACCGGCTTAGCTCAATAGATAGAGTGTCAATCTGTGGACTTAAAAGTCCCAGGTTCCGGTCAAGGGCATGTACATTGGTTGGGGGCACATTCCCAGTAGGGGTGTGCAGGAGGCAGCTGATTGATGTTTCTCTCTAATCGATGTTTCTAGCTCTCTCCCCCTTCCTCTCTGTAAAAAATCAATAAAGTATTTTTTTTAAAAACAAAAAACAAAAAAACTTCATACATTAATTCCAACAGCATTTCCAGCTATCCTACTTTACTCTTTAAAGAACATAAAAAATTAGGTTACTTAAAGATAAAACTCAAGCTACAGAGTTGGGCTGAGTTTAATAGGAGATGATACTTTTCCAGATACTTCCTGTCACAAAATAGATTTTTAATCACAGTTAAAATAGTATGTCAACTAACACAAATTTCCAATATATTCATACTATCCATCATATCTGAAACTGACTGCATTAAGTAGCTAAGCTGTTACATTACCTGTTCACAACTTTCGCTTAAGTTTTCTCAATGCATTTCAATAGAACTAATGGACAAGTTAGGTTTAAACAGCCCTCAGATCTCATAATCTCACCCTTCACTGAGAGGGACTCACAATCTCAGTCTGGGCAAAAAAAAGAAATAAGCAATAAAAGATAGAGTATAGTGACAGAAAGATAAAGTATGAAAGGTAAAAAAAAATAAAAAAATAAAAAAATGCCCCGACTTCTGAAAGTTAGTCCTATTTTCTCTAAGTAGGTATAGTGATCATCACTGGGCTGTTATAAGGCTAATCCTAACCTATCCTATCTAATAAGAGTAATATGCAAATTGACCACCACTCCAACACACAAGATGGCCACCACAAGATGGCCTGCAGGGGAGGGCAGTTGTGGGCAATCAATCATGCCAGCAAGGGAAGGCAAAGGCAGTTGGGAAGGACCAGCCCTGAAGGAGAGAGCAGTTGGGAGGGACCAGGCCTGCAGGTGAGGGCTGTTGGGGGAAACCATGCCTGTAGGGGAGGACAGTTAGGGGTGAACAGGCCAGCAGGGAAGGGCAGTCAGGCGATGATCAGGCTGGCAGGGGAGTGGTTAGGGGTGATCAGGCTGGCAGGCAGAAGCAGTTAGGGGCAACAGGCAGGTGAGTGGTTGGGAGCCAGTAGTCCTGAATTGTGAGAGGGATGTCTGACTGCCTGTTTAGGCCGATTGAAGAGGGTGGGTATGAACAACAAATACAAATCTATCAACAAGTGAATCTAAAAAATCAAGTGAATAAAAAATCTGATGAACAGAATAAAGAGATGAATATAATAGAATCAGGGGCATAGAAAGGGAGTGGACTGACAATTCTCGGGGGAAAGGGGTGTGGCGGGTGCAGGAAGAGACTGGACAAAAATCTTACACCTATGGATGAGGACAGTGTTGGGGGGAGCGGGGCGGTGTTAAAGGCAGAAGGTAGATGGGAACCGGGTGGAGGGGACTATTGGGGGAAAAAAGAGAAACAACTGTAATAGACTGAACAATGAAGATTTATTAAATAATAAAAATTTAAAAAATTTAAATTGCTTTTAGTTTATCTCATAACAAAGATGTCTGTCCTACTTATAAATTCACCCCTTTGGTATTTTTAAAAATATATATATTTTATTGATTTTTTACAGAGAGGAAGAGAGAGGTATAGAGTTAGAAACATCGAGAGATCGATCAGCTGCCTCTTGCACATTCCCTACTGGGGATGTGCTCGCAACCAAGCACATGCCCTTGACCAGAATCAAACCCGAGACCTTTCAGTCCGCAGGCCAACGCTCTATCCACTGAGCCAAACCAGTTTCAGCACCCCTTTGGATAATAACTAGCCATGTAATCCTAGCAAGATATTTGTCCTCTTCAACTTTTACTTTCTTCATCTATAAAATTAATTAAAACTATAGCCTAACAGCTGGTC